AAAGATCGCTCACACTAGAGCAAGCACTCGAAACACAAGCGTCCTTGCTTCCGTTATCTGTGAGCGAATCTCATAGGCAATGCTTACCCACTGGTAGTGACATGTTCGCAATAACTACCAGAAAGGCCAGACCAGAAGTTCAATCTGAATTTGTGTCTAAAACAAGTCGTTTGAAAATTGGAAACTCTTTAATTTAACATGCTTGATAACTATTTAACTATTAAGTGGATGCTTACTCCAGCTGCAAACTTTAGTCCATGTAGTTGTTAACACATTGCTATCAATATCAATATTTAGCATATAAGGTGAGACAGACCTTTTTGCCCACCTGGTGCTTTTCTTCTAGGCGCGTCTGAATTCACAAATCTCCAACTTTATGAGGCGGTTCAGGTATGATTAAAGGAGTTTTTACTGTTTTGGCACAGCCCTGTATATGTAAATATAAGATTGCAGCTTAATTGGCGCAGCTTTTCGTCCATGCCCCAGCCCTTTATTATTTTTTTTTCTTGTGCTCAGCTACCAGCTAGTTATAAAGTTTACCAATGTGGGAGCAGTTTGGGAACATTAATAATCCATTCTAAAGAGAACTAAATGCAGACAGAAAACAGGAAGGAAAAGAGGCCCACATATACACACATGCACAGGTGCTGTGTGTGCATGTGCGTGTCTTTTAGGGGCGAAGCTCCTTTTCGTCTAACCTTGTCCTGAATCAGGCGTAACCAGCAGCATCTCCTGAATACCGTATTTTTGCGCGTATAACCCGCCCCTGCTTATAATCCGCACCCCCTTTCAGCTCAATCCGCACCCCCTTTCAGCTCAACGAGAAAAAAAAAAAAAATCCTCGCGTATTGCTTGCACATTTATATACAGGAAAGGCTGTAGAAAAGCTACTGCTCAAGCCACATAGCACATATGTAGACAGAAAAAAGCTTTATTTAGCAAGCAGAATACGCTGTCTACAAGGCCAGTCACAATTCACTCACTGTCGCTGCTCTCGCTAGAGCTATCACTTGAGCCGCAGTCCTCACTATTATGCACAAGGTCATCTTCGGTTCCATCCATGTTGTTTGTGATGAAGCATTTCTTGAAACTTTTTCGCACCATCTCACCTGGAATGGCCTTCCATGTCTCAACAATCGACTTGCAGAATAGGGCAATATTAGGCCTTTGGACTCGTCCTGTCGGCGTCAAGTCGTAGCAGCCTTCAGCCATCCACTCGGCGTAATAGCGCTCGACATGCGCTTTGAAGGGCTTGTTAAGCGACACATCTAGAAGCTGCAACATTGACGTCATTCCACCGGGTATAACAACTAGGCCGGTGCCGTTGCGTGAAAGCCGGTCCTTCACTTCTTCAGTTGTGTGGCCGCGCAACGGGTCAAGAACGAGCATGAACCTCTTTGCGAGTATCGCACCGGTCCTCTTCTCCCATATCGTCTTGATCCAGTGCACGAACAACTCACTGTTCATCCACGCGTTCTCGTGTGCGCGCACCACCACACTGGCAGGCAAATGAATCTTTGGTAGAGTTTTCCTTTTCAAGATGACGTACAGTCGCAGTTGCGTGCCGTCGGCGAGGGCACAAAGCAAGACTGTAATGCGCATTTTCGTGTTCCCGCCGGTCAGCACGCTCACCGAACTGCTGCCCGTCTTCTCAATCGTTGTGTCCAATGGCATTTCAAAATAAACAGGAGTTTCATCCGCATTGCCGATTTGTGACAAAATGTAATTGTGCTGCTTTCGCAGGCCAACTAGATATCTCTGGTACTTGGGCAGCTTCTCCTCATAAGAAGCCGGCAAGCATTGACATATTGTAGTCCGCCGTCTGATTGAGAGCCCTTGCCGCTTCATAAAGCGGTGCAGCCATCCGCAGCTCGCATGGAACTCGTGAGGTAGGCCTAGCTCCTTCGAAAGTCGCCGCGCTTCCACTTGGGCCATCTCGGTCGATACGGCACGACCCCTGCTTCTCACATCTTCGATGAACTTTACTAGCTCCGCCTCCAGCTCAGGGTAGGCACCGGTCTTGGGGCCACAAAATGACCTACGGTCACGGGGCGCGGCTTGTAGGCTCATTTTCTTCTTTCTCCACAGTCGCACGCAGGACTCGTCCACATCATGCCGTCTTCCCGCTTCGCGATTTCCAAATTCCTCGGCGACGGCGATGATCTTAAGCTTTTGCTGTGCCGTGAAGGCCTGCCGCCGTACCCTACTCATGGTGAGAGAACAGATCGACTTAATCTAGGCGAACGGGTCGAGATGTGGAGAACTAGCGGTATCAGCGAGGTAAAGAGCGCTCACACTCGGCGACAACTTGACAGCACTACCCCTTCTAGCACACTGTAACAGCACCCTGGAAACAACAGAACCGAAATGCATGCCTGCTACCGCGTCAAAAAGCAGTACATTAATTTACTGATAATATCGTTATAGGCACTATAACATCTCATTTGCTTTGCTGAAATAAATACTGCTTTATTTATTATGGAACTTACTTTATTTATTATGGAACTTTCATAGACAGCACCACCTTTTCGGCAAGCTCTTTCCAAAAGTAAACATGGCATCCGTGACGTAGGGACATGTGGAGGGTCACCGAGCGGCCGCGAACGTCCAAAAAATATACTTGTGGTGTGACAGTGCGATTTTACACTGAACAATCGAATTGTCTCTCCCCAATTGTTTTTCTAAACGCTTCAACGATGCAAGCAAGCGAAACCAAAATCAGCCGCAAGCTGCCGTGCTACTTGCGGAGCAACACAAATTTGCGGAAACCGCCTCCGTAGCCTTGGCTACACTGTTAAGGGGCTTCACAGCACAACACACATTGCTGCGAAGCAAAAGTATAGGAAATACGCCGCGTATTATCCGCACCTTCACTTCGCCACTGAAATTTTTGGGTTTTTGGTGCGGGTTATACGCGCGAAAATATGGTAGTATAATAAATGGTGCTGTCTCATCAACATTTTTTGTCTCATCTCAATTGATTGATTGATATGTGGGATTTAACTTCCCAAAACCACGACATAGTTATGTGAGATGCCGTAGTGGAGGGCTCCGGAAATTTCCACGACCAGGGGTTCTTCTTTAATGTGCACCCAAATCTGAGCACACGGGCCTATAGCATTTTGGCCTCCACTGAAAATGCAGCCGTCGCAGCCAAGATATTATCATGCGACCTGCGGGTCAGCAGCCGAGTACCTTAGCCATTAGGCCACCGCGGCAGGGCTTCTAGTCTTATTTCCTAGATAGCGCTGGTCCAATAGATGTGTGTGCAATAGAACGGATGGAAGGAAGCACGAACAGATGGACAAACGAACACACACACGGACAGATGGATAGATGGACGCTTCATCCCACTCAGCATTCTCTACGTGGATATGCTGTGATTTTTTTTTTCATTTAAGTTTTCCATGTGCTTTTACTTCTTCCCAAAACAATTAGTACTACACTCAAACCTCAATACAACAAAGTTGAAGGGGAGCCACAATTATTTTGTTATATCGATTATTTCGTTATATCGATCATAACAGTTTGCGGCAATGTATGCTCAGATGGATGCACACCTAGAAGCATGCAAAGAAGGAAACCACCTCGCGGCCCAATGTACCACTACGTGACCACACATGCGACGGAAAATAAACACAGTCGAATCTCATTATTCCGAACACGCTTAATTCGAACTTCCCGTTAATTCAAACTCATGCTGATGTCCCGTCAAAGCTATGTGTATTCCAATGGGTGAAAATGTCTTGTAATTCGAACGCACAAGCACTTGCGACAGTTAATTCAAACATTCCGCCTTCTGAAAACGCTCTCAGCACCATGCCCAATCCCCCGGCGGCTCCTCTCAACGCTGCGCGCGAAGAAGGAAAAGAAGAAAAAGAAAGAAAAGACTGTGGCAGATTGTTTGCTCTCTCTCAAATGCCGGTCTGCGACGCACCTGTGCCACGCTTCTCCCTTGTCTGTCTCCACACGTAGAGACCCTTCTCTTTTCAAGGCCGTGCACGTGGAGAGAGAGAGAGAAAAAAAAAGCTGTCGTGGAATCCTCCTTTCTCGGTGCAGAAGGTAGCAGCGGTGACACAGTCGTTGCCGTCGTCTTTAGAGGGAAATCGCTTTGCACCGCAGCGCCGCTTCTCGGTCATGTGACCTGCTGAGCGGTTCCTGCTGGCTGTGTGAAAAGGACGACTTTCTCGGTCGCGCGTGGCGTGGCTGTGAGGTCGGCCCGAAAGTTTTGCAAGAGCCTCGCCGAACGAGCCTCATACTCCGCAGAAAACGATATACTTAACACACTACGGTCAGTTTTTTCTATAGACTATTTGATAGAATAATGTAGTTCGTTATACCCATTCACCGGTCAATTTTATTTTGTTACAAGATTTAAAACGCATGGTTCTCATTAGAGCTTTCAAGGGGAATTTCATTTACTTCGCTACATCCATTATTTCCTTATATCCCATTGCATTATAACGAGGTTTGAGTATAGTTGAGTACTGTATTTGCAAGGTATTTCGGGAGTGGCACAGTGAATAACTACACTGAATAATTTGTGGCCCAGCATTAACCAAAGCTGCTTGATTCGCCAACCTCATTGCGCAAGCATGAATGCAGATCTGCATTACACATGGCGCAAGACGAACCCTGCAGCGGTGGTACACAAAGAGATTTAAGAGAAAAAAAAAAGCAACAAAAGAACAATGAGACCAAATTAACGACATCGGCTCGATCTGTGCCAATAACCACTAAGTCAACTTCTATGACAATGACAGCAAGCATTGTATTGTGATCTCAGCTTTAGCAGCACATACAGAAACAGCAAGAAATGTCACTTTGGAGCAGAAAAGTGAAAAGAACCACCCTAGATATCATTTAGACAACTGGCACTGCTCTTCCATAACACTCTTTGTACCCTGTCTCTGTTGTCCTTTCCAGTTTTGCGCACTCTTACAAGTGTTCCACCCCTGCTTTACTACAACAAGTTGAAAAAAGGTTCTAGGATCACTCACAAGGAATTGTAGTTTTAAATTTGTCAGGATCACTTGCAACAAGTCTTCGCTTCAGTTCATTGCGGCCAACACCTGGAGGACCTGAAGGAAAAGAAATCACTTGAAAAACCTCAGTGATATAGCACAAAGCAGAAACTGATGTATTTTAAGAGAACTTGCAAATTATGAACGGTGCATGTTTTGTCCATTACAGTAGAGTAAATAATGTTAAGGCAACATTGGGGAATGCTGAAATTAAGTATGTATACAGTCGAGCCCACATATAACAGCCCCACTTAAAACGAACTTTCGCTTAAAACTAACAATATCCGCGTGGCTGTGAAAATATACATTGGTTCAATGGCACAATATCGCACTTACAACGAACATCTCCGAGTGCCGCTGATCGGTTACAGCGAACGGAGTCGGTCTGCCGACTTCTTGGGAAACCACCAATCAGGCATCGACGAGGTGCCCATATATTCTTATTGTTAAACGCCGACCCTGCCTCCGCGCCCCTCTAGTTGCCGCTCTCCCCGACCGCTTTTGTTACGCACCCCTACGTCCTTTGTCCCCCCGGTACTCTGAGCATTCCGCATCGCCAGACGAGGCCCATGTTTTCACACTGCCACCGATCTTTCGAAGACCAGTCAGCCATTTACTCCGTTTTTGATCGCTGGTACTGTCGTTGACGTCACCGGCCTGGAGTGACCAGACCAATTGCCAACACCGTCGGCCACCGACTGTATCCGATAGTCTGTGTCTAGTGCACGCCCGTACGCTACCCCACCGACTCTGATAATTTGCAATTCGTTTCGTGTTTAGGACTTGTTCTCGCCCACTTCGCACTCGGCTCAGTATGCCTTCCACGCACGTGTGGAAGGTTGAAAACGGCTGTTAATTCGAGCGGAACGAATCGCAAAATATCAAAGTTCGTGAGGCTATGCAAACCTGCTGGTGCAACAAAACAATTTTTCTACCACGGCCGCCACCGCCGACTCTTCGAACACCATCGCGCGCACCGATTCAGGAGGCCATGCACTCTTTCCAAGTTTTTCTACTTGCGAGTTTCGCGGACCTTTCAAGCAAGCTACCCAACCTGCCTCCTTCCCGTGTGTTTTGGTTTTCCAAGGTTGCCCTCCCGCCGCATCCTCCCATCTCTTTATCACAACTCATTGCCCTTCTCTCGCAAATCTTCTCTCCTCTCTTGATCACAACCCCTTCGCCCATCTCTACCGCTCCGCGACACCCACCACACTGGCTCGAATCAGTTTCGTTTTCTGACTGGAAACGGGCCCAGAGCTGTTCCACGTGTTCTGGCACGTGTGTCGCATGTGCGCGTCTTGCTTGCTCTTGGTGTGCGTGTGTGGTCATGATGGCCGACGGGAGGACTAGCTCGCTTTTTTTTTCTGCCGCTCAACAAAACGTCGAAAGTGTGACCGCTTGGCTTGAGCGTAATCCGCGTGTTAGGTGCCACGTTGAGGAGTGCTTGCTCATAGCTGTTGACCACCTGGCAGCCAACTTGGCGCTTCAGGCGTCCCGGTATTCGGCTGTGGAGATGGTGAATATTTCGTGGGCGGCGGCGGTGACGGCTACATGCGCATGAAACTGTTTTCGCGAGGCCGACTTCGTCGACGTCGGGCCCGATGCCGAGCCTGAAGCTTCCAAACAGGACCACTGCGGCGGCGATTTGTGACAGCACGTCGTCAACTCAGACCTGGGAGAGCGGGTGGGACATCTGTTGCGATGGTTTAATTACGGCCGATGATGATTCCGACGCTGCGGAATCGTGCACGGATTAGGGCATTGTGAATTAAGTACGTGGCGAGAGCGATTTGGAGGAATTGGATCGCGAGAACGACAAAACTTTGGAGTCAGTGCCTCATGCAGCTTATGCCACGGGCCTCGGCGAACGAGCACTCTGCCGTTTTAAATGAACTCGAGACTGCCCTTACCACTTATGCTATTCGAAACACGTGCATGACGGACTTTTTGGGGCATAAAAAGTTTGTGTTTTCACTCGCAACTTTTCTTTAAAAGCTGTGCTTCATTTACTACGAACTTCGGGATACAGCGAACGTATGCCGCGTCACGCTCAGGTTCGTTATAAGCGGGCTCGACTGTATAGCACTTACTGCTCACTTCTCAAAGGGTCCCTGAAACTGCTTTTCAAATTTGTGTAAGCATCTAGGTTTCCCATTATCACATCATTTACACCATAATTTAAGCAAAGCACTTCATATCAATGCAATTGAGGGCCATTAGATGTTATTCTTCTCCTTTGCAGCGTTCTTCTCCAACTCCGCAAAGCGGTGGGGTCTATCACAGATCAGTGGTCGAAGCTAAGCTCTGCTTTCTGAAGCCCTCTGCTAGTGTGTATTGTAGTTCTCTATGCTAAAACGTCCCTCAAATATCCTTGCAGCTTCTTACAATTTCATTTTCAGGATAGCTAATAACTTTTAAGCACAAAGAAGTTGGCAGAAAAACTATAACTCTCCGAAAATGATCACTAATAAATGTAAATATATGAGACTTGCGATGGTAGCCTTCCAGCATGAACTGACTGCCACAAATGCGTCGACGCTGGCGTTGATTACATACAGAGAGCCCGATGCTCACTGTACCAATGTTTTGCAACTGCACTTGCCAGTTCTCTGGCACGAGCACACAATGTCACAGGATGACATGTCTCGAATTACCACATTTGTTGCCTATGGCACAGCAAAAAAAATTTGTAGCATTAAAAAAAAAGCTTGAAATCCACACTGATCACATTGCCCATGTCTACATGAAAGATGTTTCAACACAGGCAGACAACCTCGCTGTCAACATGAAGTTTCCAAGTGTAGCAATAAGTTGAGATTACTCATTCTCATCCTGTACTTTTTACCACACAATTATAAGGTGTCCTAATTATGAGCAACATTTTTTTCACAGTAAGGCTGAAAAAATTAGCTATGATGTCAGTGGTGCAGGCAATTAGATCTGTCATGTGTGTGTCATTGCTTACCCAAGCAATGTGCCACGTCCAGGGGTATCTACAAATCTCTACTGGCAGCGCTGCTACAATTAATAGCAATGTCCACATTTAATATTACTGTATCACAATAAATTGCACACTTCAACCAGGATACTCGATTCGGCATGCTAATGATCCAAAGAATTGATGCTACCAGCCCAATGCATTTGTACGATTCTTTGAAACTGTTTCTGGGTATCTATACCTTCAAGAAAACTTAGCAGCCTTATTTGGGTTGAAAACTTATCACAGCCTGAGTGAAGAAAAACATTCCTGTGACTTTAGGAGTGTACACATTTATTGAATGATGTATTCAGTAACGCATTTCTTTGAAAAGACCATACAAAAACTGTTGTTACTAAACACAAAGCCAACTGAAGAATGTCGCAGCACACAATAAAATGGCTCCCACTATGCGCAAAAGAAGAGCGATGCAGATGACGAAACAGCGTATGAAACGAAGCTTTAACAACAATTCCCACAAAATATTTGTCACCATTACTCCTTTCAGACCCTCCGTAGTGGTCTGATGGTGCTCGACTGAGGCGCGATTCTTGTGTGTCCGCTTTGGCCTCCACTGATTAGCTGGAGCTCAGTGAGAAGTGCACCGCCTGTTTCCAGTCTTTTCTGCAACTTACTGTACGTCACGAAGCTTTCACAACTCTCGTCGCAAATGAGAAAGACTGAATTGCTGCAACGAATGCTACCCCCAGAGAGCCTGAGATAGTGCATCAACTCTCATCACATTAGCACTTGAGTTAGGTTTTATGCTGCCGTCCACCTGATGCTCCTTGAAGGTCGGTACGGATTACCTACATCAATCTTCAAACATCTCGACACGTTCACATGTTAGTTCAGACTTGTTAAGTTTAAGAGTCTTGTTACTGTGCATTTCGTCCACTTTCATTCTCTCTATGCTGAGAATGCGCCGACGGGTTCGGTGCGTCAACATGGTCAAGAGTGCCGTGAAGTCGCAGATCACCACTTTTTCCAGTAACTGAATGCACATGTCCACTAGAGGCTGTACATGTCCACTAGAATAGCTCCCCTGCTGACCTGCATGTCTGGCATCAAATCTCGGCCGTGGCGGCGGCATCTTCAATGGAGGCAAAAATGCTTGAGGCCCATGTGCTTAAATTTATGGTACCGTTGTTAAGTACCCTAGGTGGTCAAAATTTTCGGAGCCCTCCGTTCATGTGTCTTTGTTATTCACACAGCAGTTTTGGAATGTTAAAATCCCAGCAGTTATTATTACTCTTTTCAGACTTTTTGGCGCTTGGCCTACATTGTCCTTTTTGATACCTGTTACTAATGATAAGCTCCAAAAGAATGATACATGTGATTACAATTATCATGGAATTATTACGCAAAGTAAATAAGTTAACTTGTGGGATTTCATGAGTCTAAACCATGAAAACTGTGCAGCACACTGTAGTAGGGGACTCCAGGTTGACAATGAACAGCTGGGGTTCTTTGACATTCACCTAAATTACAAGGATGTTCTAACATTTAGTATTATGTCTGCAATATGGGACCAAGCCCAACATAACCTAAGCAAGGATATTATATAACTTGTCTGAAACCATGCAGTTAGGTTAATCCCACTCAGATTACTTATACCATATCAGAGTTACTGACCTTAAAACTAAAGCATGACCACCTAACCAAGAACTGCCCTGCAAAATTATTAGAACTGATCCTTTCTCACTGCACCCATCTGATGTTCTTTTCTCTTGTCTGGTGTTTTGTTTTTGTTCGTTTTTTGCATAGTTTCCAGTTAGTAAAAACTACTATAAAATGTTAAGAAAAAAGGCAGGAAAGGGAAGACGGAAGCTAGGAATGACAAATTTGCAAACAGGGTGTGTGTGCTGGAACAGAAATTTTAACAAGTGCAAAGACAAGTCCACTCGTCGAAATGTTAGTTCCAACACACACCCTTTGTATATAGGGGCAAGCAAATGCTTGATAGCTTCTAATAACTTAAAGGACATATTAAAAATATTTGAAATACCGAATATTTTCCAGATAGCTTTGAAATAATCAGTGCCGGAGGGAGAATTCCAAAACAACATAACTTTGTAATAACTAAAGGTCGTCATTCTTCTCTTTATTGCTAAAGTTATCTTCATACAACCCAAACTTTCACGAGGCTATTAGCATTATGTTAAATGCCAGATGAACGAGTTTCTTCTGAAAAATACACTCTTGCTCAGTTTCTATTTCTACTATGTTAAAGCTGTATCATAATAATCAGCTCCTGTCTTGATCTTCTAATACCTGAAGGTGGGGACTACAACTGCATGCAGCTTCATGGCTTCATGACTAATAACAGATGCAAGAGTTGTGATTGAAGGACATGTTCTTGCAGATGTAGATTGCAACGCCAATGGTTACATGCCTTCAGTGCACAGGCCATGTTGTGATGACAGGTTGAACTGCTTCATTACATCTTTAGCTGTATCTACGTTGTTTGGTTGAAAAGCATTTAGTTTTTGTGTCCCAATTTTATTTAAAATTGGGCAACAAAGTGTCACATTCATAAGGTTAATGAATGCTATATTTGAGCAAACAGTTACAAAATATTATAAAGGCGCTAGTTTCTGCTGTATGCGAGCTTGCCTTATTTTTCGTAATTGACATATTTTGAGTCGATTAAAGGTAACTGTAATTGTCTTTGATAGAAGTTTGTGAATATTTGCTTCAAATAAAATGTTCTGATGTTCTAACAGTGTTTTGAAAATGATCTACTTGCTATTTGAACAGTATTACATTACTATTTGTATTTGATTCGGTGTCATCACTATACAATTCATATTCGATTCAGCTACAAAATTTACTATTTGCACATTCATATCTGTTTACGGATTTCTTATGCCATCTTTGAATCACAAAATGTATCAAGTATTTCTTTATAGTTTCCCTTCAAACCAGCTAATTATCTTTTTGCCTGCACAAGTCCCGCAAAGGAGTCTATTGCACCACAACCCACTATCACTCATGCCCTTGAACTGCGCATGACTGAAATGGCCGTCCCACAAGTAACATCCATCATTGAAATCCATATAACTACAGAAAAACCATGAAATTTGTTTTCTTAGAATTATATTATTAGTGCACCCCTAATTATTAAATTAAAAAAAAATTATAGTTAAACCTGCTTATAACGAACCTCCATATAACAATTTTTCTATTCCCCGCCGTTGCGCCATAAAAGCTCATGTACAGGCGATCCCGAATATATCGAACTTGAAGGGGATCGCGAAATAGTTTGATATAATCGTAATTCGAAATACAAATTATGCGCATTTAAAGCCTAATATAAAGCATTTCAGGCCTCAGAAATCGTTACAAGCTTTAACATAACAATTTGCCCACAGTATAATAAAGAACAAGGAGTGAACTGCCAGTTACTGCACTTTATTTCACATGAAAAATAGTGTGTAAACTTGTTTTGCTTCTTGCGCGCCACCAAGTTCCTGTCATCCTCAATATCATTGAAGCTTTCCAAATAGGCGTATTAATCTTTTTCAACCACAACAGCCTTGATAGAAGCAGAACGCCGATGCAAGCTTCGTAGCGCTGAAAAAGGTTGGTTATTGGCGGCAGCGTATTCATAACCTTATGGGTCCACTTCTGCGGCAACAGCAGCCATGATCTCTGCACTGATGCAGTGAGAAACAGCTAAGTCGTCATCTGCACCAATAAAATCGCTCACTATCAGAAATGGCGCCCAGAAACACTGATAAGTCGGTGAGTTCACTGAGGCCCAGCACGCCATTGTCAGCCGTCATGACGCACCCGAAGTTGTCACCTGGTCCACAAGAAAAGTTTACAACAGTGTTTTACTTGACGTCACTCTTAGCGCCAGTCATGATTTTTATCGCTAAATGCGGGTCAACGTTCAGTTCAACTCCCGAACGAGGATTTATCAGGAACGAGGCGAGAAGTACTCAAGGTGCAAAAGCCAATGCAACAGAACACCACCGTCGACGTGTAGGCAATTTCAATGTCCATTGTGACTTTTTAGTTGGCCGCCACTGCTTTTAGCTGCTTTGATGTGAAAAGCTAGAAAAAGCGCAGCCTCCGAGACATGAATTTTAAAACCGAAAACACTAAAAGACGTCACACGGTTGCACATCTCGAAGGCCATGTTTTTCAGGCACGCATGCCCATTGCATACCATTGTGCACTAACCAACAAGGTAGGGAATGTGACCATTATAACGAGATTGCAGAGTCACTTCACATTCTCATTTTGGTGTCCTCCGCAATCTGTCTTTTCGAAACACACTACTCCCACTCGTTCAGACCTGCAGATCGCGTATCAAATATACTGGTACACTCGAAAGCACTGAGCAACGATCCAGATCAGCGCGATGGAGTAACACCGCCTTTTCGTTACCTGCGCTCAAAAAGAATTGAGAACTTGTTAGAACGTGGCCAAAACTTTATCAATATTTGCTAGAAAAAATGCACTTTCTGGGCTTTGTCGTGGAGCAGCATTCTATACACTGGTGCACTGGTCCAATACTTCTTCATGGGAAATTCAAGGACTTTTCTCAACTGTTCGATATAGCCAATAATTCGATATATCAGAGTTTGATATATTTGGGATCGATTCTATTTGCTACCTCTATGTAAAAAAGTAACAGTGGGAAACAACCTTGATATAATGAATTTTTCCCACGGAAAATCTAAAAATTCTGCCCCAGATTTTGTCATTTCGGTACGAGCATGCATCTTCCGTGGGCACCCTGCCACCACTAAAGTGCTAAGCGGCAGTGGCATGCACGGCGTGCTTGCGGTCCCGGCGAAAACCAGGCGAGAGAGAGCAGGCGGGCCTGTGCCCCACAAGCCAGCGTTGCCACCCTTTCTGCCGCAACAGCCGCATGCGCAAATGCACTCCCCTCCCTGTGAACAAAGAAAAAAAAAAACACTTTTGCATTGGCAGTGCCATGCTTTTAGTTAGCATCACATACATGGGGCCACACTCCATATGAAGGGCGCTTTACTGAATAGTTTGCTGCAGTATCCGTGTCGTTCGCTCGTTGTGTTCGAAGCCACGTGAGCGTGCATGGTTTCACTGTGCGTGCATGCTGGCCCCCGGCGATGTGCAGCTTTGCTTTTTTTCTTTAAGTTCTTTTTTTTAAATACGGATAACCATGTCATCATTGAGGGGATGTCAGATTAGGTGCTCGCTGATGGTAACTCTCTGAGACAACGATGACAACGGATTATCGGAGGTCAACTTGTCACATGCTTACGTCTTGCGCTGCGAGTTCGCAGGCTTTCGCAGGCCTTGATTGATATGTGGGGTTTAACGTCCCAAAACCACTATATGATTATGAGAGACGCCGTATTGAAGGGCTCCGGAAATTTAGACCACCTGGGGTTCTTTAACGTGCACCCAAATCTGAGCACACGGGCCTACAACATTTCCGCCTCCATCGGAAATGCAGCCGCCGCAGCCGGGATTCGAACCCGCGCCCTGCAGGTCAGCAGCCGAGTACCTTAGCCACTAGACCACCACGGCGGGGCGGCTTTCGCAGGCCTTCACAATTAGCCGATTAGCTCTGGCAACAACACGATGGCACGCTGAATGCAATGCGATAAGCACGATAGAACAAAATTGTATGTAATGTTATAACTCTTTTGGATCTGACATCATGGGACTCCTACAAAACGCTGGTGTGAGCAAATACACCCACTCCAGGGAGAAGTGCCCTTTTCCCACAGTCTCTTTGCATTGAAAGTGCACTGATATACTTGCCGAGATAGCACGTGAGCCAACAATGCCGACTGCCCTAAAAGTTAATTGTTGCTACTTTTGGCTGTCAATTTCGGCTGTCCTTCAAGGATTTGGTGACACCGTACAAAAAAAAACTATGACAAAAGTAGTTAGTGATGCCACGAAAAATTCACAGTGCCAATTTATTACAAAGAAAGGCATCTTAGTAAAGCCGTAGCTATTCGTAAGCACTGAAATAAATTTTCATAAAACATACCCACCAATAAGAACAATGGGACGATGAAGTCCAGGCCTTGGATAAAGCTTGGCAACCTCTTCATAAGTTGAAATAAGCTCTCGATCGAAGTCTGAAAAGAATAATAAAAATTCTAGTGTTTATCCCAGTACATGTACTTAAAGGCACCTTGCACACTTTTTGAGAATGGTCAGAAAATGTTGCCGATCGATAGTCTAGGCTCCACAATAAACTCTCAAAGTCAGCTAAAAATGGCTTTCTTTTCTCTGGACAAATGACAGAGGAAGCTCGAAAATCCCTCATCCAGCCGTTCTATCAGCCATTGGTTTATTTGAGCACGGCGCGCATGGTTGTTACTCGACCGCTGCAAAATGCTGCAACTTGTCCATGCGCACGCGTGCGAGATCGCACTGAAAAGTTGCGTGTCCGAATAAAAGAAAAGCGCTCAAGGTCACGAGCAGCGTGCGATGTATATTCTTTCCCCAGGCCATCCGTCCTTGCTTAGCTTCTAGCGCTTTCATCACAATGAGAGAAGAGAGCATGCAATTGCAACGTGCGACAAATCTTAGCAACTACGCTCGTACTGGATGGATTCAAACGTTTCTTGCGGCGGTGAATTGACAAGGCAATAAGCTCCTTTAGTAAATCTATTCCATGAAAAAGTGTTGCAGGGCCCCTTTAAAGACATCAAGGCAGTTCTTATGACATCCAAATATAATGGCCACACGACAGTCATCCCAGTGAATGAGTATAACTCAAACCTCGTTATAACGTAATGTGATATAACGAAGTAAATGAAATTCCCCTTCAAAGCTCCATTGAGAACCATGCATTTTAAACCTCGTTGTAACGAAGTAAAATTGACCAGTAAATAGATATAACAAACTAAATTAGTCTATCAAATAGTCTCAAGGACGGACGCTGCTAGGAGGCTCCGCATTCTTGCTCGCCAACGCTCCATGGCTCTTTGGAATGAGCCTCTCTTTACGCATGCAAGATTACGATCCCTTGATCCAACGTTAAGCATGCAGCTTCCAACAAAAATTCGACGAGGCGACGCTACTGCTCTGTGCAGACTATGGTTGGGAGTCGCGTTTACCCGTGCGTACGCGTTCCGCATAGGTATGGCCGACACCGCCGACTGTGCACACTGCGGAGATGAAGAAACAATTCGACATATCCTGTGTGACTGCCCAAAATACAACCTGGAAAGACAACACCTTTCTAATAAACTAAACAGGTTAGATGACCAGCCGCTGTCAGAAGAAAGTATACTGCGCCATCGTCATGACTCATCGTCACAGAAGAAAGCCGTGCAAGCGCTACTGGGCTTCTTACGAACTACTGGCCTGTCGGAACGCCTCTGAGTGGACTGATTTTGTATGTGCGTGTGTGTCGGTATTTTTCTCTTATTTATTTTTTAACTCTCCCTTTTTCTTTCAACCCCCTATTCCCCAACCCCAGTGTAGGGTAGCATACCGGATACTAGCATCTGGTTAACCTCCCTGCCTTCCTTTTTTCTCGTTTCTCTCTCTCTCTATAAAAAAAACCTGACCGTAGTGTGTTAAGTATATTGTTTTCTGCGGAGTGTGACGCTTGTTCGGCGCAGCTCTTTCAAAACTCCCGCGCCGACCTCACAGCCATGCCACGCGCGGCCGAGAGAGCCGTCCTTCTCAAAGAGCCACCGGAGAGGATTGAAGCCACCGGAGAGGCTCATCGGGTCACATGACTGAGAAGCGGTGCTGCGGTGCAAAGCGATTTCCCTCTCACTATGGCAACGACTGCGTCTCTGCTGCTACCATGGCTGCTGCCCTCTGCACCGAAAAAGCAGGACTCTCTGCGACAGCTCTATTTTTTTTCTCTCTCTCTGCGTGGGGCCTTGAAAGGGGAAGGGTCTCTACGCACAGAGACTGAAAAGGCAGAAGCATGGCACAGGCACGTCGCAGATCGGCATTTGAAAGAAAGAAAACAATCTGCCACAGTCTTCTCTTTCCTTTTCTTCATTTCCTTCTTTGCGAGCAGCATCGCGAGGTGCCGCCGCAGGATTGGGCATGGTGCTGAGAGTATTTCCGGAGCATGGTATGTTCGAATGAACCGTTGCAAGTGCTTGCGCGTTCGAATTACAGGGCATTTTCGCTCAGTGAAATACACATAGCTTTGACGGGATCCCAGCGAGAGTTAGAATTACCCGAAAGTCCGATTTAATGAGATTTGACCGAGTTTATTTTCCGTGGCACCCGTGGTCGCGTCGCGGTACATCGGGACGCGTGGCGGTTTCCTTCTTTGCATGCTTATAGGGGTGCGCATACATTGCCACAACCTGTTATAATCGATATAACGAAATAATTGTGGCTGCGCTTCAACTTTGTTATAACGAGGTTTGAGTGTATTTTGAATACAGTCAAACCGTGGTATACCCAACAAACCTATAAAATCTTCTATATAAAATTTAGAAGTAATGTTCGGCGCAAACAAAACGTGCCTGCAGTGTTCGAAAACTTCGGGACTGTAGTAGGTCATATTGCTAAAATTATGCGTGCAACGTGACCCTTACAGATTATTCTGGAACTTATGTGGCCGCCAGCGATGACCCTGTAATATTTGACTGCACATGTATCAATGCCGCCGCGCTCCGCCCCTTGTCAGTTTATCGATAGGCGACACTCAGTTCACTGCTCTCAGTGCCAGTGTGTATCGCTGTAGTCTTACTTTCCGTTGATCGGCCACAAATTCGGCCGAATAAAGTTCGATCTTAGAACTAGAGTCTGCTCCCTTCAGCGACGTGACGAGCCCGTGACGATACGATCGATCGGTACCGTTCTGTGCACAGCATTTTGACAGTGATAATGCGCATAACCATCCAGTTGGCCGGAAATATGAGCGAGTTTTCGTGGTGAAGCCTTCTTTTTGTTCGTTTTTTTTTTCGTGTTCATTTTGTAGGCAATTATGCAGATCATTCAACGTTAATTTTTTGAAATTTGAATGCTTGCAAGTCCACTGCATCATGAGCCTCGATTCTCGGACACGCGAGACGGCATGCTCAATACGTTTTGCCCTAGCATAGCTTATGAAGAAAAATGTTTTGTCTGTAGTGTGGATATTTGTGACTTCAGTGACTTACATCATCAACAGTCTATGCAGTATCTAAAATAAAATTTTCAGAAATTTTACCCCGCGTAATATGTGCACCCTGAACTTGGCGCCGAATTTTCTGGGAAAGAAGTGCGCATATTATACAATTAAGTACTGTGTGTGTATGTATGTGTGTTTGTGAGTGGGTGTCTGTACTAGCATAATGAACACACCCCCAACTTCAGTCGTCAAAATTTGGATTTTTTTCTGCCGAGTAATGAGCGCACCCCCTACATTCCAACATTCTATAAACGTTGCTACATCCATTCGCTGCCCTCTCGCTAAATGACACCTGGTTTCTTCTCGAGTGATATGAGGGGTTCAACGTCCCAAAACTACCATATGATATGAGAGACGTCGCAGTGGAGGGCTCCAGAAATTTTGACCGTTTGGGGCTCTTTAACATGCATCCAAATCTGAGCACACAGGCCTCCAGCCATTTCATCTCCATCGAAAATGCAGCTGCCGCAGCCGAGTACCTTAGCAATTAGACCACCGCAGCGGAGAACCTGGCTCCTTCTTGCCTGTTGGAACCCTTCCATTTTTCATTATTATGCTGACCCCCTCATCCACCTCGGCTTGCTTTCTCTCTACTTCGCCCAATCCTGTGCGTCGTATTGTTTTTCTTTCTATCTCTGTGCACCACATCCCCAGTCTTTTTCAAATATCTATGCGCCACAACAGGTTCACGAACGGTGCGATAGTAAGGACATCGCAGCTGACAAGCCCACAGCAAGCGAAGGTTACGAAACTGACGCGCTAACAAACAGTCGCTTTCTGCAAATACGAAACTTTATGGCCCAATCATATGCAAGCAAATTTGAAGCGACGACAAGATTTGCTGTCATCATGGCTGTCGCAAAGGGCCATTCGTTGCCATCGCATCGCAGGTTTCTGAAAACCAGAAAAAGTTGCTTGTCAATTAGAAAAGATCGTGACTATTTCCAATTCTTGCTTCGGTTTCAACTTGCTTTTCACGCTTGTTATCCGCGCGTACTTCAAAGAACACAAGATATAGGCTACCTTTTCTACAGTGACTTCTCATGTGGACAGCGAGGCGGCAGCCGTACTTCGTCATTAATCTTGTTATCGACAACTTGTTTTGATGCTACAGGGGTAGCTTGCTGCAACGTTGGTTACTTGCTACAAAGTCAACAGCGTCGTCGCGGTCATCATGCGGGGTTGCAGCGAAGTCGGCAAAGTGCATCGTAGCGCATGCTTCTGGGCACCCCTAGAGATCAGAGCAAGATACTACTGTTGCGGTTAAACGAGTGCGAGATAATATAGCCGCAAAACGGTTTTATGGTGCACGTGGGCGGCGCAGAGATACCTAGCAGAAGATCACGCTATCAACCACCAAAGATAAGTGAAGTGCAACAAAGATGCTGTTTCCAAACAGTGTAAGCGTATGTTGATAGCGAAAGGCTAAGAGACATAACTCTTTTGCATTGCGGCATTTTTTGCTCACATACTATATATATATATATATATATATATATATATATATATATATATATATATATATATATATATATTCGTATAGCAAAGAAGACGCACGTACGAAGTTATTTTATTGACGTTTCGGCCGTGGGTCCGGCCTTCATCAGAAACTCTTCATCATCAGAATAATCTTTCCCGGACCAAGCATAACTTTTGTTTTGGTATATATATATATATATATATATATATATATATATATATATATATATATATATATATATAAGAGAAAGAAGTGTATATCTAAGGGCTCGTTTTTCCGTGTTTTCGACACAATATTAATGAGATCTAACAGACAGTAATGCTCAGGAATGTACAGGGGAAGTTATTAGAACCAATGGAATGTAAAAAAGAAAGAAAAGTGGGTGAAAAAATAACCAGCCGTGAGCAGGAATCGAATTTACGACCTTCGAATAACGTGTTCGATGCTCTAACTACTGAGCTACCATAGCGGCCTTCCCACCATCCACTTTTTTTGGGTTTATATGTGAATTTAGAAGTACGAGTGTTAGTCAGCGCCATCTATAAGCCAAGCGACGAGTGTGAAACACTCTTTTATGCGCATATGTGGCGTCACGTACCACGTGAACTTATTACGAGCGGGCAGCTGATTAATAGTCCCTCGTATACAACCTAATGACACCAAGTCTGCCAGTACGAGACCCTCGTTAATGAATAAGGGAATGAAGTGTATACCTAAGGGCTCGTTTTTCCATGTTTTTGACACAATATTAATGAGATATAACAGACAGTAATGCCAAGGAATGTACAGGGGAAGTTATTATAACCAATGGAATGTACATTCCTTGGCATTACTGTCTGTTAGATCTCATTACATATATATATGGGAAAATAAATATATGCTTCTAAAAAACTTTATTGGCGAAGTTTCCATCAGAGACCAATCTTCATGATGAAGATCGGTCTCAAATTGAAATGTCATGAATAAAGAGTTTTTTTGAAGCGTATATTTATTTTCCCCTAATTCTACGACAATTGAAGACAGACTCTTCATAATCTACATACATACATACATATACATTATATATACAGTCGAACCCGGGTATATCGAACTCGCCAAAAAACGTTTATTAGTTCGATATATGGCATAATTCGATATAGGCCCGGTATAGGTTTTGACACAAAGGCACATAACAAACTAGAAGAAAAGTACTTTATTAATATGGTGGCTTACTTGCGTGTCCTACTATGGAACAAATTAGTCCCGGATTTTTTTCTGTGACAACAACTTCGCTGCCTGCGACAGCACGCACACCTCCACGTTGTCTAACGAGTCGGAGCAGCTGAGGCCGCAACCTTCCACATTCAAGCAATAGCACCGGGCCAACGCAAGTGCACTAATCACTTCGGAGGATGTAGGCAATGGGCCGTCGTCGATTTCCATACTGCTGTCGCTTTGGCTCGTGGTCGGCACGACGTCTGCAATGTAATCCTCATTCTGTAATTGGCCCATGATGGGGACATCATCGTCCGCACTGACGAACTCTTCGAATGTCGATCCGTCGATAGCACCTGGGAACTTTCCCAGCTCGTTCCTAACTTCGGCGGAAACACCTGCGGTGTCTTCAGTGCTGTCAGAATTTGGGGTGTGATCCCCAGGCATGCGGAAGCTGGCATGCCTAAAGCAGTTCAGGATCGACTCCTTCTTGACATCTGCCCACGATCTACTCAACATAGAAATAGCTCCGAGCAAGTCGATCTTAAGCTCCCTGCCGACACGAAGGTTCTGCAGCAGCCTCTCCACCAGGCGCTTTCAATAGCCGGCTTTCATTGTGCGTATAACGCCTTGATCCAGTGGTTGCAGTACAGACGTAGTGTTCGGGAGCAAAAAAATGCAGCTCGATGTTGCTGAAGGTCGTACTACAGTGGTGCGATGAACAATTGTCCACGAGCAGGCACACCTTGCAATTTTCGCCTACCAAATCATCATTCCACGACGATAGCCATCTGCTGAAAAGCTCCCCGGTCATCCACGCTTTTGAGTTTGCTCGGTAGGTAACTGGAAGCGACACCGCATTTCGAAAACACTGTGGCGCCGTGCTTTTTCCGATAACCAGAGGCCGAAGCTTTTTCGATCCGTCTAAATTAGCTGCCAACAGCACGGACACACGAGCTTTGTTTGCCTTGCCGCCGCTTGTCTTGTCGCCACGACACGCAGGTGTCTTGTTTGGCAACATTTGCCAAAATAGAGCGGTTTCATCCGCATTGAAGATATCTTGTGCTCTATATCTTGCTGCGATATTTCGCCAGTTTTTCTCGAGCCATTTTTCTACACTGTCCAGGTCCGCCGCTCTGCTTTCACCTGTAACAGCTTTGCCAACGATGTCGAGCAGTTTTTTGAACCACTGAAGCCAGCCTGAACCGCCTTGGAAATCATTCCTGCCAAGCAGAAAAGCAAGGTCCTTGGCTTTCTGCTTGATCATAGGGCCGGACACTGGGATGTTTCGCGACCGAACGTCCACAAACCACTTGTAAACGGCCGCTTCAACATCTTCGTACACAGCAGCGCGCACGTGTCGAGCGCCCCGGGCACCTGGCCTTTTGTCCGACTTGGCCCTGATGTCTGCCTTGTTCTTCAGTATAGTACTCAAGGTGCTCCTCAGAATTTTGTATGCGGCGGCGGCGTCGGACTTCTTTTCACCAGGCTCAACCCGATTGATGATTTCGAGTTGGGCGGCGAACGCCAAATTTTGCCTCTTTGCGCAAGCCATGATGACAGCACGCCAATACAGTTCACAGAGCACCAACAGGCAAGACCACAGACCACGCTGAATCAACAGCAGCAGGCACACAAGCATAAAGAAAGAAAAAATGGCGCTCACTTCTACCGCCTCCGTGCCTCGGAGAAAGCACGACGGCCTCTGAATGGCTGTAAGCGCTGCGAGCGGGTCAGGATCATTTCTTGGAGGGGGGTGTTCGCCCGCGCACAACCGGGTCTAACCAACTTTTTCTAGGGTGGCGCCGGCAGTTTTCCCCGCCACCACGAGGGAAAGCCAACTTGCTGGGGCACTTTTGAGGCACATGGAGTTTGATATATCAGTTGTCGTTGCTATTTTCGTTCGATAAAACAGTAACTTTTGCTATATATTTTCAAAGTAAACTTACCGTGTTTAGGAATTGTTCGATATACAGGATAATTTGATATAAACGGGTTCGATATAGTCAGGCTCAACTGTATTTATACATATATAAGAGAGAAAGAGAGACTTTTCTAAATTTTAAGAAGACAATAAACAATTGTCTGTTACCCAAAACGAAAATTTCTTCTTGGTGCGTACATTTCATGCTTGTTTTGCACAAGAGCCATGCAAATACCGCTATTTTCGTCATCATGCGACTCGATGGCTTAAAATAGCTGCAAGACAGGATGGCAAACAGTCCATTGGCAATGGATGACAGCCTAAGCTAAGCCCTTAAAAAAATATCCTGGTTCAGCGGCAGGAGATGCTATGCACCCAATGAATCAGCCCGGAAGGGCCATGAGCACCCCAGCCCCCCATACTCTCGGTCTATATGTCGGACCACTTCAAGTGTGTGCTGCCTGTGTAAGCCCAACAATATATGCGCTGTATATGCACAGTCAGATGGACAAATACTGTCACAGCAAAGCAAACTGCCTGCACAAGGATCTCTCGGGACAATCCCTGCCACAAGGCACCAGATAACATTTCCATGCAGCTAGCTTTCGCTCAGTAGTAGATTACTGTACAAATGAACTGTACAAATGTACAGGAGAAAGCCAGTTGGACTGTACTCTGCCCCAATCGTTGCCTGTCATGGTTTAGAAATGCTCCGTGCTATCACCATTGTATTCTATAAAGCCAGAATTCGATCTGCACTTCCGAGTTTTTTCTTGGCTCACGTGGTGAGCATACATGCTACGCTAGTATTTTGTTCGCCTGCCAAATTTCAGAGTGCTTACTAATGAGATGCAGGACTGTTCTAGAAACACACATGAGGTTATTTTTACTGTTGAAATAAAAGAACTACAATTTAATTTCATATGTAAGTTTAAGGGCTTGTTTTCTTTGTTAGACACTATATTAATGAGAACTAACATACAACTAGCGGTCCCTGCTGGCAGCAAGTTATTTTTTCGTTCACTTTTCTTTCTTCGCATTTATATTACAATTACTTCTATAGCATTCCCTATACTTTCCTTGGCATCACTGTTCATTAGTTCACATTATTTAAGCTCATGAAACACTGACAGTTTCTGTTGCGATTATGAATTCATTTTACTGAGGTTTGACTGAAGTAGTTATACAACAGTAAAACCGACTATGCCTACCTTCATTGTCAGAGACATCATACATGACTTTCTTGGCTCTCCGAGCCTTCATCTCTTTGCGCATCGGTGAGTAGCATCCCGCTGACAAGCCCTCATCATCGTCATCCTGATTCACCACTCGCAATGATGCAAAACGCCTGAAATTAAAGTACAATGAGCTCCAAAGTGTCCTAATTCATCATGTGGCAGTTCACAAACATGAAGGAGGATGGAAGCATGAATAGTCATGAATAGCTAAACGGCCACAGGAAGTGCAAAAAGCTATACATTTCAAATAAATGTATCACACAGCCTAAACACAACAGCCATGGGTAGACAATGTGCGACCTTTATATAGTTAAGATAGGCTATACACAGGTTTGTAAAATTTATGTGCCTCCTTTTACAAGGTCATCCATACTTACTTTATTGTAACACCATAAATATGCAATGGTAGAAGTATTTATTTGATGCAATACACAATGGTAACACACTGAAAATTGCACAGACATTGCTTCGTGAACACGAAAGCTTTCATGATTAACAGTCACTTTTTTTTGTGGTAGATTTCGAAGCAAGGTGTCGAAGCATCATCACCGCTCATTGTGACCTAAGACCAATCCAAGGTAAATACAACATCCAAGTAGCTTTTAGACCCAAATTTCATGTCATCACTATGCTGCTTTCCGTAATGCTCGAAGAAGCACATCTTTTTCTTGGAGCATTGCTACAAACAGCGTTCTTTCTGCGAAGCAGCATTACAAAATGCTGTTTCATAAAACTGTCTCCAGGCTTGAAACAAGCGCAAGAGGCACGAGATGCAGTTTCTCATGGAAAACTATAGCCGTCTAGGGGATTAAATTACAAGCAAAGCAGTTGATGAGTGTGATATATCTTTGGTGGTGGAAAGAGAAAAAAAACTGGGCCGGACTAGTGTGACTCGTTGTTGATGATATTGGCACAAACTCACGTGGCAAGTACAGCTCAGGCTATGCGGTTAAGGGGGGACGTGGCAAGTAAAACTAATTTTTTTATTAATGTACTGTTTGTGATGAAATTTGGTGTGTGTATGTGGATGATTGTGAGGATTCCAAATATGAAAACCGTTTTCAAATACCTCTTGTACTTTTTGAGTTACAAGCATAATTATACTAATTAATGCTCTTCACACTTAAAGAGATAATTATTGCTAAATGAAATTATTTTTTCATATTATTATGTTCCCAAAGCATCAACTTGTGCAAAGAAGCTATTAGTTGATTTTTCTAGTTCTTGTAACCATAAATAAAATTTCCAAAACATGGATGTTGTTTTGCGCACACATCGCAGTAATTATAAAATGTGTTCTAAAAATTTTAAATGATGAGTAAGAAGAGAGATAAAGCTTTATTGCACTGCTAAAGGCCTCCTGAGCCTAGTGCAAAAAACGGAACGACTCTATCAGTCTTTGTTAGAAAATGACAGATGTTCTAGCGAAGGCACATAGGCGAAAATCAAGAGTTGAGAAAACTGACTTTGAAAGTTCACTCTTGTTTGGAAGTTCACAACATGCCTAAAACACTCAGAATCCTCCTGGGCAGTAATCCTGAGATGCTGTGGCCTTGGCCTCTGTAGAGCGCAACCCAGTTTTGCGCTTCTTTGTCGTGGAACAATGCGCCTTTTGAGCCCTCTTTACCCTTTTGGCATCCTTTTCGGCTGCTCGCCGCAAAGAGCAGTCTCCTGGATTGAAGCCCAGTTGAGCAGTGATCTCTTGCAGCGCACTCTTGCAGCCACCATTGAAACGGCAGACTGCATCTGCAACTGCACTTTCCACACTTCGAAGGGAGGCGAACTGGCTCTTGGACTGGAGTGACCAAATGAGGCTGTTCATACTCTCCACAGCGTTCTGGGTTTTTCCCTGCGCACACCTTTCAAGGAGCTCTTTGTTCGAGAGGCGCTTGTAGATTGGCAGCAGTGCCACTCGCACGTGAGGGGGCAGTTTATGTTTGTGAGGCGGCAGCGGCTCTCCCTTGGCCAATGCCTGATTGTGCGGGCACCAGGAGTCAGTCCCACTTGGGCACAGGTTGTGGTGTGGATCCTGGTCTGTGGATGTTACATGGTAATAAGTGGCCATGATGGCCCTCTCCATGCCAGGAACATCGTTGGGGTGGCTCTTAATGGCCCAGCCATAATAATTCGTCAACTTCTTTATCAGGCCCTGCGTCAGCCGGCCTTTGCCACCCATGCTCAGTCCTCGGCCTTTGGATTTGTGCTCATCAAGAAGGTTGCGCAAGGAAGTGCCCATTCTTTTTTTCACATGGTTCACACACTCCTGTTTCTTAATCACCATGTAGCCATACACCTTGTCTTGCGTGAGGGCAAGGTACGTACGGCTGTCACCGTCGCAGAGCACATTGATGTATCGAAGCTTGTACTTGGTAAACGATCTTTCAAACATGATCCTAGCTGCTTCTACTTCCATTTGGCCTGCATTAGCATCGGTGTTCTTTTGGCACTGTGGCTTGTGTTTCTCAAGCCACTCCTCATAGTTGTCGTCACCAGGCTTGGGGCCAACAGCACAGCCTTGGCAGTAGTTGGACAGGACACAGTGGTCCAAGACCAAGCCTGTGTACAGCTCGATTACACAGCCCACGCCAATATGACTTCTGTGCCCCCTCGTCATCCACGTGCCGTCGTAAATGACGTCAATGTTGCCTGGCACTCCTCCTAGGTCCTTGTAAATGTCATGCACCTTCTGTGCACTTTCTGCTTCAATGCGGGTGGCAGCTGATGTGGTGGCAGGGTGGCTGTACTTCCTTTGCAGTCTCTGGTAGGACTTGTGGTGCAGTGCTCGATGCGAAATGTCCATCGCAGAAAAAATGTCATTTATGGCAGATTGTTTTCTGCCAACTGACTGCACAGCCCTCAAAGCACGCACGTTTACCTCAAAGGGGTTCGTTTTTTGTTGCCCGGAGTACCTCGGGGACGACCACGCACTGTTCACTCTGCCACAATTGTCACAAAAAAGTTCCATCCTCGCCGCGAGTCCAAGGCAGTGCGTAGTCTCGAGGCGTATCGACCCTTCGTCGCACTTGTTGCACTTTACTGACGAAAGCAGACCGTTCAGCATCTTCTTATTTACAATGAAGAATGTGGAGTCCTTACCGCCGTCATTTTCGTCGCAGCCTTCGTTCAGAAGCTCGAGCTTCCGCTTTGAAGCGGACTTCGATGCTACGGCATCCAAAACATCCCGCCTTGTCTGCGCCCGCTACGCGATTTCTTCACTGCTCGGAATCTGGGCCGAAACTCGCGATATAATGTTCGACGCGCGCACGCCCGGAGTTTCAACGGCTGCCGACGCGGTGCCACCGCAATCGGGTTCGCGAGAGCGTCCATCACGGTCGACGGCATCCGGCGGTCTGACATACGACGATGTGGCACCTTCCACACTCTCGGCCTCACAACAATCAGCGAAGGGTCCGAGTAGAGGCTCCGTGACGCTTGAAGAGCATGCTCCGTCCGGAACTGCGACTGGGACGGCAGCCGCAGTCGTCTGCCCTTTGTTCCAAGCTTTCCGACGCTTGCCGTACTTGTGGACGCTCCGGAACTTTTTTTGCGGCAACATAGCACCGCAGTATGAGCAAGCACTCAGAAGAGACCACCGATGTAACAAAGCTTGGTAAAAAAGCACGCGAACTATCACAAAAACAGCAAACTGGCAAAAAACGAAGCGCACGCCGGATGATTCTCGACACGGCGGCCGCAGATGCGCTCGCGCTTCCAAGGTTGCCAAGGTGCGCGGCGCAGCTTTGACCAGTAAGAGGTCGCGCCTGCTACCACGTGACCCGCGCAGCCAATTGCCGTTCTTCGTTTTCGTTTTTTTTTACTTGCTCCTCGCGCTTTTATTTTCACTCGGCGAAATACGAGACCGCGACCATCGGGAAGCCGGCTTTCTCCTCTTTCCAAAGCTACCAAAATGGCGGCCCACGGTCAACAACTTGGCGCGTTTGTGCGGCGTGAACAACACCGTTTCAGGGGCTTTTTTTTCGCACTTTTCGGCGACTAGCCTCGGCAAAAACACTATTTGCGGGATTTGTAGCGCACGTTTCGCTGTAATATTTTAGAACAAGGAAGTTGAAGGTCTGAAGATTACGAAAAAAAAATAAATCAGAAAATCGCATATTTTGACCAAAATCGGCACTTTACTTGCCGCGCCCCCCCTTAAAGGAATAGTGACATAATTTTGAGACATCTGAAAAGGGACATATTTTTATTCCCTTAGTATGCAATGTTAACAATATCCACACACCAGAGTAAGCCAACACGTCTAAAATATTTTCTTGAATTTTAAAGTTTTTGTCACTGAGCATGAGCAAACCAGCCCCATCACCATAGACATTATCCCAACGAGTCAACACAGTTCCACCGAGTTTGCGAATTCTGTGAACTGCATGCGGCCTAACTCCCAGACATCACTGTCGGGGTCACTGGAGACAATGCAGTCATCGTTGCTTATATGTACCATGGGCAGATGGCAGATCTGCCGATAGTATGCCGCAAATTGAAGTCTTCCCACGACGACACACTGCTATTACATGTCACGAAGCCGCTGCCCCCTCGATATAGAAAACAACACTTTTTTTGAGGTAGAGGTATTAGAAATATATACACTCATACCTCGTTATAACATAACAGGATATAACGCAATAATGAATATAACGAAGTAAATGAATTTCCCCTTGTAAGCTACATTGAGAACCATGCGTTTTTAACCTCGTCGCAACGAAGTAAAATTGACCAGTAATTGGATATAATGAACTAAATTAGTCTATCAAATAGTCTATAAAAAATGACCGTAGTGTATAAAGTGTATCGCTTTCTGTGGAGTTTGACGCTCGTTCGGTGTGGCTCTTTCAAAACTCCTGCACCAACCTCACAGCCACGCCAAGCGCGGCCGAGAGAGCTGTCCTTTTCACACAGCCAGCGGAGAGGATTGAGGAAGCGCTCAGCGAATCACATGATGGAGAAGTGGCGCCGAGAAAGGGGAACTTGCCACGACAGTTTTTCTTTTTCTCTCTCTCTCCGCACGCAGCCTTCAAAGGAGAAGGGTCTTCACGCGCAGAGACTGAAAAGGGCGAAGCGTGGCACAGGCGCGTCGCAGATCATCATTTGAGAGAGA